ACTTTTGTTTTAGTCAAGTTTAATAATCATTGTATAGTATCACTTGCATATTTTGTCTATAATAGTTTCATTTTTTAAAGATAACCTTTACCTCTCTGACAAGATACAACAACAGCAGCAACAACAACAAAGCAGCCTGGGGATGTCAAAATTGTGATTATAACCACTAAATAAATCAGTATCTTGGACTAAGAAATTATAACTCAGTGTTTGCTTCCAGAAAAGAGTAAACTATCATGTGCATGCCTGTGTGCTTGTGGCTGTATATGTACACTTGTGTGCAGGTTTTTGCGGGCCAAAAGAGAACATCAAATCTCCTGGAGTTGAAGACACAAGTGGTTGTGAGTCACCTGATGTGGGTGCTAGAATTAAACCCAGGTCCTCTACAGGAGCAGCACATGCTTACTCTTGAACTACCTCTACAACCTGTCAATTTGCTTTTCTTAGTGTCTACGATTATCAAAATAAACATGTCTCCATTATATTGTGACTTATTTATATTTGTCTTTAATAATATACTGTTTTCAAGCATTTAAATGCTACAAATGATTTAAGTTTATTCTATGTATAGGATTCAATGCAACTTTTTCTTCATCATAAAATTTATAATCCTTAATTTTCAAATTTTATTGTTTCCACATTTACTTTTTATGGACAACAGAGTACAAGGTGTGGATTTAAGGGAAATGAAATATATTCATCTCCATGTTTATTTAAGCCTGTAATCAGAGTTGTTTTAATTGTAAAGTAAGGCATCAGAGATGTCTGGGCAAAGGGACAGGCAGCTTTGACTAGAACTACGGCTCTGTTGTCCTTGCAGGTCGACCAAAAAGAAGTACAGCAACAGCGGGATCCTGCCCTTTCCCTCTCCTCATGCTCATTGCATGGGAAGCAAAGAAATCTGTCTAATTTGGGAGCTTACAACATATTGCATTTAATTAATTTGACCTTTTCCTCACCTCTTTTCAAAGTGGCATAGTCTTAAGAATGTATTCGTTGTGTCCTTCCTAGTGAAATAATTTTCTGCAGTAGGCCTATTGATTGCAGCTCAAAGGGCATACCATTCTGTACAGAAACGTTATTTTCAGGAAAAGATATTTAGAAATATTATTTAGAAACTGATTTTATCAGTCATAAAATATGCTTTCACTTAGAGTGTGACGTGATAATTGGCTAAGAGACCAATAATAACTATGACAAGGAGACCATAGTTATTAGCCATACACTGTTAGAGCAGCGACTGTTTCTGATGGAAACTCATTGTGTAGATAAAACTACAACCTTGCAGTAGATAAACAGCAACTAAAGGTCTCTAATTGGACTAATTTGTTTTGAGATTTCTGTGTGTGTGTGCGTGCCTGCGTGCATGAAGTATGCCACGTGTGTGGTGGTGTTCAGGGACATCAGAAGAAAGCATCAGATTCCATGGTGCTAGAAATAATACTCATGCCTCTGGGAGAAAAGAATGTGCTTGACTTCCCAGCCACTATGTTAGCATCACAGGACTAGACTTCAGTTTTGAATTTGATCAGAAGTAAATTCAAGCTAAAGGACACAAAATCTTTCTGCTTTCTTTTCTCCTTTCCCTCCACCCTTCCTTTCTTCCTTTCCACTCACCCTCTACCTGTCTTTCTTTCTACTGTTTTGTCTCACTGGTGGTTGGCTATAGTCTGAGATCATGCGTGTTTTGTTAATTTCTGATTCGGGTTAAAAAATAAAGTTGAGATAATGATTAAGGCTCCATTATGTTCTAATAGAAATGAGAAATTAAAATATTTCTGAGTCTTTGATAAGGTTTTATACTTCTCATGTCCATAATAATGTGTCTTAAATTCTTTCAAAGGCCACGACTCCTATCATGTCATTTTTCAAATCGAATGGAAAAAAAGCATCAACCTGCCACCTGCTTCCTGACAGTGCAGTCCTGGGTTGCAGGCTCGCTAGTGATTCAAGCCCAAATGATATTCGAAGTTTTGCATTTTGCTTTTGAAAATTAATTCTGGTGATACAATGCCAAGAAAAGCTTCTGGTGTTCAAATAGATTTGAAGAGAAGTAGATATATCTCTCAGGTCAGTGCTCTGCTCTTCAATTCTTCTAGAAGTCCTGATCAATATTGAACACCTTAAAAGCATTCCAGAATCCATGTATCTCTAATGTTCTTTTTCTAGGATTTTCATGTTAGGTTGACATGAAAAGACACTCAAATTCTTACCTGTAAATTTGCATATAGCCTAATCTTCAGTATATTTAGTGATGTAGATCCATCTATTTCTATCTATCTATCTATCTATCTATCTATCTATCTATCTATCTATCTGTCTGTCTCTTATCTATCATATGTCTTTCTATCTACCATTTATATATCATCTACGTATACCTGTTTTTTTACAGGATATATATATATATATTTACACACATATATACATACACACTATATATACAT